GCAGATGGAATACAATGTGGGAAAATGTGAGGTTACAGCAGGACGAATAAAGGAATTGAATATTATTTAGATAAAGACTACAGAAAGCTACTCCACAGAGAGATTTGGTGCATAAATCAGAAAAGCCAGCATACAAATTCAGCAGATAATAGAGAATGCAGATTGAATATTGGCCTTTATTTTAAAGGGAATTGAGTATAAAATTAGGGAGATCTTGCTAAAAGTAATCAACACACTGGTCAGACCACAGCTGGAATCCTGCAAACAGTTTTGGTCCCTAATCTCAGGAAAGATATAATGATATTGGAGGCAGCCCAAAGAAGTTTCACTAAACTGATCTTGGGTCCGGAGGGGCTATCATGCGAGGAGACGTCGAGTAGGTTGGACCTGAAATCATTGGAGTTTAGAAGACTGAGAGATGACCTTATTGAAGCATACCACATTCTTAGGGGACTTGACAGGGTAGATGTGGAGAGGTTTCTCTCCTTGTGGGAAAGTCCAGGACCATACAGCATAATTTCTTTAATCATAATCTCATAATGAGAGGTCATCCATTTAAAACAGAGATGTGGAGGAATTTCTTTTCTCAGTGGGGATTCAACCACTGGAATTCTTTACCACGGAGGGCTGTCGAGGCTGGGTTATTGAGCATATTCAAGGTTGAGATAGACAGATTTTTATTCAGTAAAGGAATCAAGAATTATGGGGACAAGGCAGAAAAGTGGATTATCAAATCAGCCATGATCTCATTGAATAGTGAAGGAGACTCAATTGGCTGAATGGTCTAGTTCTTCTATATCTTATGAGTTGACAGCATTCTGTTGTGGGATGGGTGTGATGCACCGAATGCGAAGAGGTAGCAACTACATTCAAATGATACCATTCTCAGAACATAGTGGGCTGATGTTGGACTGTGCTGGCTGTCAGCGTGTGGGTTATATATTAGAATGAGGTGTTAGTCATACTGCAGCTGTTTGTGATGCTGACTTGACAGCTCAGCAACCTAAGTTTGTGGTCAGTCTCAATATTACGTGGCTCCCCTAACTGTTCATCATTTGTACTGTTTCTTAGCTTGAGAAAGAAAATATTGTATTTATAAAGTGCCCTGTTCTATTTCCCAGTAACATTTCAAATGAGTCCACACACAACAAACTACTTTGAAGTGCATTAGTGGCCATTTTGCACACAGCAAGCTGCAACACACATGTCATTAACTGACAGCTTTTAGGAAACTTGATCAGGATATTAAGTGAGCTCCCTGAAGAAAACTCTGCATGGGTGAACTCTCTACTGCTCTTTAGATGGTACCAGCAAATCTTTTCTGTCCACCTCAACCATAGATAACTGAAAGGAAACTCCAAGTTCAGTGACATGTGATTTGACCATGGGATCACACACTGCTGCATGCAGCGAACTATGAAAACAAGGTGGTTGCTGAAGTGCACTAAGGACAGCTTTACTCACAGAAACACTTAATCTCTGTGGGAATCAGTTTCCTAACTTATCATTAATTCTAGTGTTAAATAAGACATGTAAAATATAAGAAGTAGTTGACCTTGTGTTATTTAGCAAGGCTGGTCAGGGCAATTGCAGTGACAGCACTCAATATATGTTTTTCAAAGCTGAACAGTCTCGAGACACAGGAGCATGTTGGCTGTGATAACTGGACTAGTAACCAAAAGGCTTGAACTAATAATCCTGAGATATGAGTTCAATCCACACCAAAGCACCTTGAGATTGTTAAGTCATAAAATAAGCTGGGAATAAAAAAAATCTTTCAGTAATAATGATGATGAAACCACTGGATTGCCCTAAAAACACCACTGGTTCAATGAAGGAAATTTGCTGAAGTTAACTGTCATTTAATCAGAGAATAGTTACTGCGCAGAAGGAGGCCAATTGACCCGTTGCATCAATGCTGACCCTGCAAACTGCTTCCCTGCCTATTCTCTATCGGTAATGTATTACTCCAAACACACAACACGCATGACATTTTATCATCTTTCGAAATGGCTTAGCAAGCCACTCAGCTGTATTATACCACAACAACAATGTATAATTAGAATATAACTGGATGAATTGGTGCAAATTCTCAGAGGGCTAAAGGAATTAAAGGGTATGAGTGAAATCAGGAACAAGGTACTGAGTTGGATGAACAGGCATGATGACACTGAATGACAAAGCAGGCTCAAAGAGCTGATTGGTATACTCCACTCCAATTTTCTATAAGACAGAATATGGAGAGATTAGGAGAGAAATTTTAAAAAAAGTAGAAAAGTAAGGATTTTTTAAAAAGTAGAAAAGTAAGGAGGAACAATGAAAATAAACTATCAAGCATTATAAATAAAAATTAAAATATTTTACAATACATCATTTAGAACATAAAAGTTATGAAAACAGTGCATGTGATAGACAGAGTGAAGCAATCCCACAATGGAGGGATCAGATCGAAGTTCTGTGGTTTTGCATGATGGGGGTCAGTCAAAGAAATACAGAAAGAAGAGACTCCGATTTACATTTTGATCCTCTATGATGATGGAGTTGAACATACAAATGCAAAGACAAGGCTGAAGCATTTACAAACACCTTAAATAATAAGTGCCCAGTGAGTGATCCATCTCTGCCTCCTTCTGAGGGCACAGCATCACAGATGCTGTTCTGTAGCCAATTCAATTCATTCAAAGGGATATCAAGAAACATTTGGAGGCAATGGACACAGCAAAGGCTATGGCCCTGACAACATCTTAGAATTAGTGCTAAAGACAGAAATGGTTGCACTCAAAGCCAAACTGTTCCAGTACAGCTAAAACACAGGCATCTATCCAGGTATGTCCTCTTCTCAAGAAGCAAGGCAAATCCAGTCCAGCCAATTACCATCTCATTAGTCCAGTCTTGATCATTGGCGAATTGATGGAAGGTGTTGTTGACAGTGCTATAATGCAGGAATTATAACCTCCTCACTCACTTCAGGTTCTGCCAAGAATACTTGGCTCTAGACCTCATTACAGCCAAACTTAAAAAGGGCTGAATTTCAGAGGTCAAATGCAATTGACTGCATTTTCACAATTTTGATATAATTTGGTTTCACATGGCATGTAGAACAATACATTGTCAGGTTCAAGTTAAATAATAGTCAATAAATAAAAAAACTAACAATAAGTCTGAACATGGGAGATAGGGAAAAACATCAGTGGAAGCATGAGAACTGGAAGCCACTGATACAGGTAACTGGCAACAGAAGCTATACTGCATGGTAAAAAAAAAATCATGCATCAAGTATTTAGGATCTGCAATGCACTGATTGAATGTGTTGTGGTGGCAGGATCAATTTGAGATTTTCAAAAGGGAATTGCTGAAAAGGAATCAGAAAAGGAAACATTTGCAGGGCAATGGGCAAAAGGCAGATGTAGATAAGTGATGAGTGGCACTATGTGATTTGCTCCTTCAGAGAACCAGAACAGACATGATGGGCCAAATAGTCTCCTCTTTAATACATCCATTCTTTGGTTTCACAACTACAGGATGACTGAAGTGCTTTATACACAAAGAAGTACTCATGAAATATATCATTGCTATAATGTAGGAAACATGCAGCCATTTCAAATAGCAAACTCAAATGTGCGAATGACTAAACAATTTTTTAGGATGATCCAGGGATTTAAAAATGGCCAGAAAAGCAGGGATGACTAATTCCTCTGTTCTACAAAGTCGTGCCATAGGATCTTGAATATCCTTCCAAGCGTATAGATTGGGGTCTTGGTATAAAATGCTGGCTAATAGACAGTTCCTTCAGCAATATAGCATTTCCTCATCATTATAATGGAGCGGTACCTGAACCCAGGATCTTGCCACTCAGAGGTGATAATGCAACTTTATTTTATTCATTCCTGGGATGTGGGCATTGCTGGCTGGCCAGCATTTATTGTCCATCACTAATTGTCTTTGAGAAGGTGGCTGTGAGCTGCCTTCTTGAACCACTGCAGTCCACCTGCTATGGGTTGACCTATCATGACATTAGGGAGAGAATTCCAGGATTTTGACCTAGCAACGGTGAAGGAATGGTGATATAATTCCAAGTCAGGATGGTGAGTGCTTGGAGGGGAACTTGCAGGCAGTGTTCCCACGTATCGGCTGCCCTCTTCCCTCTAGGTGGAAGTGTTTATGTGTTTGGAAGGTGCTGTCTGTGGATCTTTGGTGAATTGCTGCAGTGCATCTTGTAGATAGCACACACTGCTGCTACTGAGTGTTGGTGTTGGCACGAGTGAATGCTTGTGGATGTGTTGCCAATCAAGCAAGCTGTTTTGTCTTGGACGGTTTCAAGCACGTTGAGTGATGCTGAACCTGCATTCATCCAGGAAAGTGGGGTGTACTCCATCACACTCCTGACTTGTGCTTTGTAGATGATGGCCAGGCTTTGGGGAGTCAGGGGGTGAGTTACTCACTGCTGAATTCCTAGCCTTTGACCTACTGTTGTAGCCACTGCATTTATGTGGTGTGTCCAGTTGAGCTTCTGGCCAATGGGAACCCGAAGGATGTTGATTGTGAAGGATTCAATGATGGTAACACCATTGAATGTCAAGAGGTGATTGTGGACTGTTTCTTATTGGTGATGGTCATAGCCTGCATTTGTGTGGTGTGAATGTTACTGGCCACTTGTCAACTTACTGATATTCAAGTATCACCCGTTTTAATCATTCCATCATTTTTAGCCGTGCCGTCAAATGCCGAGGACACATACTTTGGAATTCCTTCTCTGTCTCTCCACCTTTCCTCTTTCATGACAGTCCTTTGAACATATTACTGTATTTGACCCAAGATTTTGATGATCAGGCTTGACGTTTCCTTTCGTGACTCGCTACTTTATAACTTGCCGGTGAAAGGCCGGGGACCTCTGTTAAGTTAAAATTATCACGTGTGTAAAACGATTGCCGAACGAGCAATGGGTTTGGGGTATAATTGCAGTGGCGGTACTTGCCCCTCCAGTGCTGTAGATGGCACTGTAGGTAGAAGTCAGTCCTTACTGCTGCTGCCGGTGGTGGGAGAAGGCCGTCTGTTTGTGCCTCAGTGGATGAGTGGGCTGGGGGGAGAGCACAGGTTGGGGTGCTGAGGGTACTGCAGCTGGCGGCGGAGGAGATCTCCGGGCATAAGGGATGAGCGAGGAATATTACGGCAGTGCTGCGGACTGGGAGGAGCAGGACGGCTCTATGGTGAGGATGAGGCCACCGCTCCGTCACGGACAGGGGTAGAGTTAGGCCGCGTTTGGCGGCAAGGAGCCGTTGGAGGGGGTGGAGCTTGGGATTGGGCGCGTCCGCTCGAGGCGGGGTTAGAGCGCGCGCGCCTGGCCAGCCGGGGGGTGATAGTGGCGGAGCAAAAACAGAAGTTGCTGGAAAAGCTCGACAAGGTCTAGCAGTGTCTGTGAAGGAAAAAAGGAATCGGAGTTAATTCTTCGGGTCCGTTCTCAGAACTGATGGCAGCTAGGAAAACATTGGTCTATATGCAGAAAATAGGGAGGGGGCGGGGTAGGGAGTAGACGATAAAATAGGGAGGGGGCGGGGTAGGGAGTAGACGATAGAATAGAGCCCAAATAGAGAGAAGAGCAGTTGGAAAGACAAAGGATTGGATAGCAATCTGGCTGAAGGGTGAATAGTTGTTAATGGAGACTGTTAGTAACCATCAATAGGTCGTGTGTAATGGCAAGCTATGTGATAACAAGGCCTGGTGTGTGGGGTAGGGGGCTGGATCATGGGAGAGTTCAGGCCCTAAAATTATTGAACTCAATATTGAGTCCCAAAGCTGCAGGGTCCCCAAGTGGAAAATGAGATGTTGTTCCTCCAGCATGCATTGAGTTTTGCTGAAACACTGCAGCAAGCCTGAGACAGAGCTGTTGGCCAGGGAACAGGGTGGTGTGTTAAAGTGGCAGGCAACAGGTAGTTCAGGGTCTTTTTTTGAAGGCAGAACATAGATGTTCTGCAAAGCGGTCACCTAATCTACACTTCATTTCCCCAATGTAGAGGAGGCCATGTTGTGAGCAGCAAATGCAGTAGGCTAGATTGTGGGAAGTGCAGGTAAAGTGTTGCTTCATCTGGAAGGTATGTTTGGGCCCTTGGATACTGGGGAGGGAGGAGGTACATGGTCAGGTGTTACACCTTTGCTAGTTGCAGGGGAAGGTGCTGTGGGGCTGTTTGTGGGGGGGGAGAGAGGGGGTGGTATTCTGAGAGTGAAGGAAGAGAGTGGACCAGGGTGTCCCAGAGGGAACAGTTCCTGTGGAAGGTGGACAAGGGAGGGGAATATGTGTCTGGTGGTGACATCTTGCTGGAGGTGACGGAAATGGTGTCTGATGATCTTCTGGATGAGGATGCTGGTGGGATGGTAGGTAAGGCCATGGGGAACCCTAGCGCTGTTGCAGGAGGGAAGAGAGGATGTGAGGGAAGAAGTGTGGGAGATGAGTCAGACCCAGTTGAGGGCCCTGTCGACAACAGTGCTGTGGAATCCTTGGTTGAGGAGGAAGAAGGTGAACATTTCGGAGGCTCCCTTGTTGAAGTTGGCCTCCTCTGAACATATGTGATGGAGATGGAGGAACTGAGAGAATAGGATAGAATCTTTACAGGAAGCAGGATGCGAGGATGTATAGTCCAGGTAACTGTGGGATCAATGGACTTCGTGGTTTTTTGCAATAATGGGCATGGCTAATTGGGCTGGGGCTTTGGGGTTATTATGGATGTGGACAGGGATGGGGTGGGGTCAGGCAGGATGGGTGGAGCAATCCCCCTCGCGCATATTTCATCTTCAGTGCTCACTCCCCACAGCTCCATTCCCCAGGTATGTAATAGTCTATTCCAAAAACATTCCTGTATGTACTGACCTGCTTCTGGGGGTTCCCTGCAAATACTACAAAAATCAGGTGACTCTGGGTCCCACTGACATTCTCAGATTTCCAAAAAGCAAAACAAAGTTGCTGGAAAAGCTCAGCAGGTCTGGCAGCATCTGTGAAGGAAAAAACAGAGTTAACGTTTCGGGTCCGGTGACCCTTCGTCAGAACAGAGGAAAGCACTCTGTTATTGCAGGATGTGGGTCCATTGGAAGCACCACCAACCCTTACAGAAAGACTCTGAAGCTGAACTATTTCTGGATGATGTACAAGTCTATGTACTGTTTATTTGAAACCAATAGCCTTCCAATCCTGAAGTTATTGGTCATTATTGTCTCCCTCTTTACACCTGCTGTTTGGCTCCCTGCCCCACATAATGATCTCTGTGGAGGGTATTGTTTCATGGACACCTGCAGCACCTTTATACCTTGGGAGTGGTATCAAACTGCATATTCGCTGATTGCTTGCTTGATTCATGGGAACATTGCAGTTCATGCCATTACTTTTATCATCCCAAAACATGTTTGTAGCAGCAGATATTGGTCAAGATTGCAGACATTGGCTCATTTTCTCCTCAGCAATTACAGTATTTCTGCCATCCTAACTAATAGAGTTCAGACTTTTGGTTGACCCTAAGGCCCTCGTCATTATGTGACATGCTCTGAAAGTACCAATTGCTGTCCTTAATGGTGTCTTGGATGAGCTTATGATCTCTGTTATCATCTTGCACTGGGGTCCCGACATTCCTCTAAATCTGGCTTCTTCCATCCTAGGTTATCGCTGCTTCTCATTTTAGCCATGCTTTCAGCTGTCGGCTCTGGAAATCTCTTTGTAAATCTTTCTGTTTCTCTGCTTGACTTAAAGACATTCCTTAAGGGCAGCGTGATGGCTCAGTGGTTAGCACTGCTGCCTCATAGTGCCAGGAGCCCAGGTTCCATTCCACTCTTGGGCAAGTGTCTGTGTGGAGTTTGCATGTTCTCCCCGTGTCTCCATGGGTTTCTTCCAGGTGTTCCGGTTTCCTCCCACAGTCCAAAAATGTGCAGGTTAGGATGGATTGGTCATGCTAAATTGCCCATAGTATCTAAGGATCTGCATGCCGGTGGATTAGCCATGGGAAATGCAGGGTTACAGGCACAGGGTAGGGGAGTGGAATGCTCTTCAGAGGGGTTGGTGTGGACCTGATGGGCCGAATGGCCTGCATCCACACTGTAGGGATTCTCTGGTTAAAACTGAAAACTTTGTAATTTTGGTCACTGGTTCTAATGTCTTCTAGTGTTCCTTGCTGTCAGATTTTGTTTACTCACTCCTCACTCATGAGGGTGATTCATTGTTTTGGGTTTTGAAGCTTCTGGTTTGAAGTTTAAATCGGGGCCTTCAGAGGAAGGAAAAGTAGAAAGGGTGAAAAAGAGCAGAGTTTCAAGGGAAGTGTGTTCCTGGCCTGACTAATAATTTGCTATTCTCACCCAGCACGATGAGGATGAGGGAGATGGTGAGGATGATGCAGAGGTGCAGCAGGAATGCCTGCAAAAATTTTCCAGCCGAGATTACATAATGGAGCCACCTATATTCAACACGCTAAAAAGGTAAGAGAAACGTGTAGACAAGTTGGATTCTAGTCACACCCAGCCCTACTTCATTCACAACTAGGACCAGCCACACTCTATGTTTTTATTTTACTCAATGCAGACAGAAGTTTCCACATTATATTTTCTTTTTTTTCCTCTCTTTTTTGAGTAAGTTTCAGCTCTGGTAGTTAAAATGGAACAGGATATTGTTCAAATCCTTCATAGCAGCCATATTCTTTTCATCTATACCTTTATTGTGCTTAGTTTGCAGCTTGTATGTAGTACACACTTTACGAGTGTTTAGACATATACAGAGTCATTCCTGTTCTACAAGATTTAAGACTACTCTTATAACCAGTGCCTTCAAGCCTAGTGTGGAATTTCCCCCACCCCGTGACAATTGTCTGTTCTTCATGTAAAGCGTTGAACAGTGTGTTTTTATTAGTTGAGCTCAGTTAATTTGATACAGTTCAGTATTGAGTATTTGTACCTCACTATTATACTAGCACCTTTTATCCTCTAGAGGATATGATGTTAGAGTTAAAGGTGGAAGATTGGCAGATGGCTGATGTAGCCCGTAAATGGTTGCATTGACCAGTTTGACTGAATGACTGACTGACTTATTTTTGAGCTGGAGATAGTATGTAATGATCCATCGGTGATCTCTGTAATGCGTTTAAACCTGGAACAAGGGGATCAACTTGCACAGCTGGGAATGACAATGAAGCATGCATGAGTAGCTAACAGTATCTGCAGCATGTCAAGGAGAATATACCCACTCTTGAGATCTGACTTAGATGTAATACATTCCAGAACAAGTGAAAGAAAATGTTTCTTCTCACATATACAAATATTGAATGTATTCTCACTTCTGTAGGTATTCCACCATCCACAAAAGAAGTCTCCATTTACTGTGCAAAAAAAAACTGCAATGCTGGAAACCTAAGAGAAACTCAAAGTCTTGCAGCATCTGTGGAAAGAGAAACAGAATAAATATTTTGAGTCCAATATGACTCCTCTCCAGTTCTGAAGAGGAGGAACAGTGATAGGTTTCACACTGTAGAGGAAGATGGGGAGGGGCAAGTGGAACAGAAGGGAAGGTCAAGGAAAGGGTAGAGAGTGAAGTAGGTAAGAAATCATAGGATCACAGAACACCAGTCATAACGAGTAGCAATGGCTGTATTGAGTAGAGAGGTCTGGTGTAGGTCTTAATAGCAGAATATAGGACAGCTTTGCTGAAAGCAAACCAGGGGACAGGTTTGATATAGAGAGGTTGTGTGGTGGTGGTGGTGGGGTCACGGTGTCTGTCTGATAAGATGAAACGTGGTAGTTTTGTCAAATGATGACTCTTATACCATTGCTGATTGTGAAAAAATCTATCTGGTCCAACTTTGTCCTTTAGGGAATGAAATCTGCTGTTCTACCTGGCCTGGACTGTGTAACTCCAGTTCCGCAACTGTGTGGTTGACTGGCTTGCTCGGCCTTTCAGAGGGCAGTTAACATTCAGTTGTATCAAACTGCAAAAACGTCTCAAAAGGGATGAAACTGGACAGACCACCTGGCATCAACCTAGGCACCAGAACCAATGAGAGCAAATCCTGCAAAGTCATTCTGGGGGCTTTTGCCAAAACCAGGAGAGATGTCTCGCAAACAGACTGACAGAGATGTACTGTCACGATCTGCCTTACACACACTGACCCAGACAAAGCCATCACGTTTTCTGGGTATGCGCTGTCCCACTGGCAAGACAGACCTAGCAGAGGTGGTGGCAGCAGTATATGTTCAGGAAAGAGTTGCCCTGGAAGAACTCACCATTGACTGTGGACTCCATGAAGTCTCATTGGCATCAGGTCAAACAAAGACAAGGTAATTTCCTGCTGATTATCACATACAGTCCCATCTTTGGCTGATGAATCAGTAATTCAGAATGTTGAACGCCATTTGGAGAATGCACTAAGGGTGGCAAGCGTGCAGTACATAGTCAGTTGGGAAATTTCAACATTTGATACCATGAGTGGCTCAACAGCACCACTAATTACTGAGCTGGTTGAGTCCTAAAGGACGTAGCTCCTAGACTGGGTCTGTGGCAGGTGGTGAGGGAACTAACAAGAGGGAAGAACATATTTGCCAATCTACCTGTTGCAAATGCATCTTCCCAGGAGTATTAGCAGAAGTGACGTCCACACAGTCCTTGATGAGGCGAAGTCTTGTCTTCACGCACGATGGTGTTGTGTGGCATTATCACCATGCTAAAGGGATGGACTTTGAACAGGTCTAGCAACTCGACTGGACCATCAGCAGCAGCAAATTTGTACTCCAATACAATCTGCAACCTCATGGCCCAGCATATCTCACACTCTACATCATCGCTTCCTCCAGTGGTCCCCAGCATCATAGATCTCAGTCATCAGCCAATTTGATTCATTCCACATGATGGCCAGAAATGATTGAAGGTGCTGGGTACTGGAAGGACTATGGGACCTGGCAACATAACAACAATACTGAGGACGTGTGCTCCAGAACTTGTTGCACCCCTAGCCACACTGTTCTGGTACAGCTACAAAATTGGCATCTAACCCAGCAATGTGTGAAATTGCTATATGCTACGTACATTAAAAAGCAGCTCAAATCCAATCAGTCCAATTCCTGCACCATTCAGTCTTAGTTCAAACACGGACAAACGAGCTGAATTCGAGGTGAGGTGACCGTGATTACCCCTGACATCAAGGCTGCATTTGACTGTGCATGGTATCGAGGAACCCGAGCAAAACTAGAATTAGTGGGCTTCAGGTGAAAATTCTCTACAGGTTGGAGTTTTACCTTGCAGAACGGAATATGGTTGTGGTTGTCAAACGTCAATCATCTGAGCCACAGGACTTCTTTGCAGGGGTAGTGTCCTTGGCCAAACCATCTTCATGTACCTTATCAATAACCTTTCCTCCATCATAAAGTCAGAGCGACATGCTATCATCAGTAAACATCAATATTCAGCACCATTTGTGACTGCTCAAATGTTGACACAGTCCAAGTCCAACTGCAGCAATACTAGATAATATATATACTTGAGTTCATAAGCGACAAGTAACATCCATGCCACACAAGTGCCAGGCAATGATTATTTCCAACAAGAGAGAATCTAACCATCAGCCTTGACACTTAATGGTACTACTATTTCTGAAACTCAGCTATCAACATCTTGGGAATTACCATTTACTAGAAACTGAATTGGAATTGCCATGTACGTACTGTGGCTACATGTTAGACAGTTGGAAGCTTGCAGTGAGTTAGTCACCTCCTGACTCCCCAAAACTTGCCAAATATCTACAAGGCCTTTGTCAGGAAGTAATGGAATACTCTCCACTTGTATAGATGAGTGCAGCTGCAACAACTGTCAAGAAGTTTGTCAACATCCAGGACAAAGCAACCTGTTGGAAAAAGTATTTTTAATCAGTAAAAACCAAAAGAACAGC